AGAATTAACAAGAAAATAACAATTAATTATATACTGTAAACTACTTATTATAAGTATTCTTTTTTTAATATAATTTTGATACCAAAATCTATATAATACTTATATTTGGAAGTTTTATATAATATATTGATTTTTTAAATAAAAATTGTATTTAAAGTATTAAATTATTAAATTAAAGTCTTATTACAATATATAATTAAAATAATTTTATAATAATAATAATTTTTATTTTATTTTATTTTAAGTAATGCTTATATTTATTTTATACTTTTTTTTATAAAATCAAGATGATGCTTATATTTTGGTGATGCTTATAATAAGCAGTTTACGATACTTATTAATTTTAATATATTGATTTAACAAATTAAAATTAAAAATATTTATTTATTTTTAATATACTATATATTTTATCTTATTATATAACATTAATAATAATTTAATTAATAAACTTCTTTACAAATAAAGTTTTTATTTTAAAATAAAATAAATATTAAACTTTTTAATTATGATAAACATGAATAACTCTATACTAATCAATTCAATTTTTAAAGTAACTATTTAAGTTTAACTGCTGGCAGAATAAATATTATATATTAGTTAATCTAAACTTATAATGTAATTAATCATATAATTAATTATATCAATTTTTTTCCAAGTAAAGGCAATAGAATTAACTATTTAACAAGGAGCATAATTGTAGGTTAGCTTGGGTCGAATAGTTGATAAAAAAATAAAAGAAAGTAAAAATGTGCAATGGCGTTGTTGAGCTGTGTAATTTATAGATTTTTTTCAGGTCTGTTTAGTCACATGACCCAAACAAAAAATACATAAATATTATAAGTCTCGACGTTAGCCTTTTCTTGACTATATCGCGAAGTCTTTACTTCAGAAACACAGTCATATTTTTAAAACGACTATTTTTGAAAAATTAAAAATCGACTTTTTCTTCAAGCAATATCGACGACATTCGTCCGGACGTGTTATGTCTGGTAAGGGCCGTCTGACGGTTAGTTTTGATTAAAACGCTTACTAAAAGATGTTTCGTATTAAAATTTCAAAATTTAGCAGAACTTGTCTTAGAAAATCAAGAACAAGTCCTTCAGGAAAGGGAGGATCTCGATGATGGGCCCGAAATCGACTCTGAAGAACTATTGGCAGCAATGGTAGAAGGTTCACCTGGTATGTTGACGTGTTGCCTCTTAATTTTATACTTTGCCAGTTGTCGTTCTTGTTTTTTTCAAAATTCGCACTTTATTATCATAGTTCTCTATTCATATCATTCTTCACTAAAGTACGACGCATTAAGGATCAAGAAATCAAATATTAATTTCCTCGTCTAAACCAAATTAACCATATCATTTCCATGATTAATCCACTAATTATTTTGAACATCTGAAAATTATTGCTCTTGGGACTTCCAATAGATAACCAATTTCCTGAAGTTTCCGAAGACATGGAGGATGAGGAACTTCTATCAGATGACTCATTATCAATACTTGAAAAGATTTTTTTATACGTCAAGAGCGATCTAGCATTCCATAAGTATGAGTCGTCGTATCAGTCAACCATAGAAATTACGATTTAAATTGCTGACATTTTACGTGTGTTTGTTTTCTTAATGAGAGTGTACATTGCAAAAGAACTGCCATCTCTGATAAAAGATGTCGATATTAGTGAAGCTGTCGAATATGTGCTACCTTTAGTGAATTCCTTAGGGACTGACCCTGGTATGTTTTTTGCCCTTCAGAATCAAATTTTGTGCTCTTAACCTTCTAATATATATATCTGGTTGCAATCTCAAGAGGACCACGTGCGTGAAGCGTTTGTACCCGAATTAGATAAAATCATATGGTTTTATTATTCTGTAAGAGACTGCAAATGTTGTTTAGTTCAGATTATTTAATAGTGTTGATCTAAATAAAACGAATCCTTATTAATTTTTGACGTAGCATTGCTTAATCCGGGAGGATGCACCCGAAAATGCCCAAAATGATAATATTTCAATAACGTCCAGGCCTCTAACTCCACAGAGGCCCCAGACGCCTCAGCAAAGGCCACAAAGACCACAAACTCCTCAGAGACCACAAACACCTATACAGTTAATGATTCCACCACAACCACAAACACCTACTAGTCATTTACCATATTTATCCCCTGCCACCTTTACTCCTCTACTTCATACGTTATTACTTGATCACAATACAATTATCGCTCAGGCAGCACAAAATGCTGTGCAGTCTCTAATGGAGAGAATCTTGGAAGAACCAGATATAGGCCCGAAAGAAAAGGAATTACTGGAAAAAGAAATTCTGGAGGGTGTTGTGTTAGGGATAGGTCGTCTAGATCAGGAGAAAGTAAAAAGAGATGAATCGAATGAATGGGATACGGATGGTGATGATGTGAGTGCGGTTGCAAGCGGTGAAGAAGAAGCAGAACTTGGCAGAATGACAATGATGTCGGTACGTTATGAAGTTTCATAATATGCTATTATATTTTTTGTCACTCTGAATTTGTATAAATTACTTCAATTATTTTATTAACAGCTAATTTCTTCATTGGCGTCTATTGTGGGACCCGAGAAATGTACCCGTCTTTTTGTGCCAGAAATTGATAAAATGGCCGAAGAACATGTATTTTATGTACGGAAGGTGAGAGTATATTTGACTTACTCTTTATAATATACATATTTTACGTATAATGTATAAAACAGATTTGTTTACTAGGAAGCGGCCTTGGCAGTCGGGAGTTTGGCTGGTGTATTGCCGCTGGATATAGTAACATCTAAATTGGTAAATAACAAGCCATTTGTTAATGCACCTGGTTTGAAACATTACCATATTGTTGATATTGAGTAAATAATGATATCATAAGTTACCCATATACGATCATTTCTCCACTGATCCTATTTGGCACGTGCGTCGTTCCTGTTGCATTGTCCTTCCTACAATATGTTCTCGTCTGCCAGAAGAAATGAAATCAGATCGGGCAGTCAAAGGCATTGATCTATTCGCTGGAGACGTCAGCCGTAGCGTCCGTTCAGCAGCTGGTGAAATTATCGGGGAGTTGATAGCTATTTTCCAGCCAGAAGGAAGAGTTCCTGAAAGCTTGGTACAACACTTTCTGAGTCTCTGTCCTGTAAGGGAAAGCAGTAATGGTAATGGATTCATGGGTGCTTTTAACGGAGGACACAGAGATCCTGAACGCCCAGTTATTTGTGCATACAATTTTCCTGGTTAGTACTTGTTTTATTGACTCCCTTTGTCATTCTTAATTACTTCATTTATATTTTCTGCTATGTTTATCATAGCTGTTGTTCTGACCTTGGGAGAAAGTCGTTGGAATGACCTAAAAGAGACTTACACCTCTTTGACACGGGATATGCAGGTTTGATATCGAGACATAATATTACCAGTAACCTTACAACTTTAACATTTACTATCTCTTTTTATCAGGTTAAAGTGCGTAGATCTTTGGCTTGTTCGCTTCACGAAATTGCGAGGGTCATAGGTCCAACTAAGACCGAAGAGGACCTTTTAAATGTTTTTGCATCTTATTTGGATGATATAGATGTCAGATCTGGTCTTTTAGAGCATCTAGCTGCGTTTATTGAATGTTTACCTCAATCTACCCGAAATGATTGTTTACCATCATTAAGTGGTGTATGGGACGGTGTTAAGAACCAATGGAGACTTAGAGACGAAATCACAGGGTATTAATTAAGAGGGATAAATTTATGCTCTATTTCAAGCGAAACTTAATAAGTTCTAACTTTTACAGACAAATACCAGCTTTATGTCGATTATTTGATGAACAAGATGTAATAAATCATATATTACCATTGGCTATAAGGGCAGTCAGAGATTCGGTGGCTAGTGTTCGAGAAACGGCCGTTGTTTGTGTAGGTTATCATCGAAATTATTATCTCAAGTTTTCGTATCTTTCTGACTTTTCTTTTTAGTTTCCTGTCCTTTTCGAGGCAGTACGTAGCAATGAATTATGCTTTAAAGATTTGATAAATCGAGTTTGCGAGTTCTCTTCCGAACCCGGGTTCCGAGGCAGAGTAACGTAAGTTAAATCAAACCATCCTTGTTAAACTGTTCGCATTTCATAATCAATTATATTAATTATGTTTTATTTCCAACTGGATTAGTTACGTGCAAATATGCAATGCTCTCGTTAGAGCAGAATTTCCGAAAGACGACTTTTCAAAATATTTTTTAACTAGTTTAGAAAAACTTTCGAAGGACAATGTAGTGAATGTAAGAATTGCCTTAGGAAGATTAGTTGGAGAACTATGTCAACTTGGTATGTATTATCTTCCAGTATTGAATTATACATGTTAAATTCTAACTAATATGTATTTCGGTTTTTTTAAATCCTTTAAAAAAATGAATGCAGAGGAATATTATGAAGACCCTACAAATCGACCGTTGCAAATAAACAATATGATACGTATTCTTTCCAAAGACTTGGATGTTGATGTGCGAGAATTTGTCATTCATCTGTTGTCCCCTGAAGAAAGGTCAGAATTTATATCTTCCACAATACGAGAGATTTTTGACCCCACGGATAATTTGAATCGGCCTGAAGTGGTTGAAAAAAATTCCCATAAGCCTGCTGAGACATCACCTTTGAAAACGGAGGAAATTCGAGAATCAAATTTAATTGGACCACAAGATATTGGAAATGGTCATGACGGGGGTTCACTGGGTGTAATTATGGGAGAAATTCCAATAACATATATAAGACCTAATAATGTAATCGAGGTACCATCAACCTCTCCTCCCATTTAGGACCACGAGTTTCGTGTAATTTTAAATATAACATTGCTCATAAAAAAAAAAGGAAATAAAAAAATTCCACGGACATTAATATTTATTTGAACTTGCGAGGCCGTTTATCAATGAAAGGGAAGTAATAAAGAAGATATCTCGCAGAAAAGTTTATTTGATTATGAAATTGGATATCCTTTAGCTTAGTATTTTTTGGCTTTCAGAATGTATAATAGAAATAATTCTACAACTATTAATATACCGTGAAATTGTATATTTAATAACAACACGAAAGATTTTTTAAAACAATTATTCTATTAAAATATATTAGTCATTTTCCACTAGCATAAAATGATTTGAATTTTAATATAATTTTTCTTTTAAATAAATATATATATTTTTTACTTCTAATTAGATTGCAATCTGAAAGAGTTTTTTAATCTTTAACAAAATACAACAATATAATAGGATTATTAAATTTAATTAAATAGTCAATGGATTTTTAGATTTGTATATAAGATTAAAATATATATATAGCATATAAAAGTATTTATACTTTGATATAAAAAGCCACTGCCAACTTTTATTCTAGATTGTTTATAATTTTTTTTTTAAAAAAATAATAATAATACTTTTTAAATCAATTCTAATTTATTAAAATAATATTCTTTTTAATTGATTAAAGGCATTAAATACAATGTTTTTATTAATTTTACAAGTTAGATTATTACTATTCTAGATATAAATTAACATTATCTAATGAATACTATTTTCAAAACTACTGGTTTTTTTTTAAATCAATTCGATTATTCTAGTTAGTCAATTTTATTTACATCATATAAATAGATTTATGTTCAAGTGGAACTTACACAGGAGAAAAAAAATCTTATTACTAGTTTAAACCTATCTTTTCTATTGATTCAATTATATTTTTTGACTATTTGTCAGAAGAAGATTATATGAAGTATTATTATAAAATTAACTTCAGTTATTTTAATTATCTGTTATTACTAATTCTTGGAATATATCACTAGTATAATATTATACTACTATTTTATTACCTGTGAAACTAATATTTTTGCTTGGATTTTAATTTAATCTTAAAAGTTCTTATTAAACTTACTTGATCTTAATGATTTTTGCCTAGATTATCATTACCTATAACAAATAATTTTTGTTCTTTTGATCAATTTAAGTTCAGAAAAATATTACTTTTGAAATAGATCTTTAAGCTTCAGATTAAAATATATCAGCTTAGAATTAATCTCTTTGGGTTATGTAATGAAGTTTGCCATTATTAATTTGGATTAAAGTTTTGTAACTTATTAACAAAGTTAGATTAGAAGCCTTCCCTTATGTAACCTTTTATACTTTAAACTATTTTTAACTCATAATTATTGAAAAAACTAAAGATTCTATCTTTATATAACTTAACTGAATTTGAATATAATTAAGGATTATTAAATATAATATATATATAATATTTAATAAATCTATATGAAAATAAATATTCTTTTTGTCTTCTTTTTTTTTTTTTTTTTTAAAGTAGGTAAACATCATTTCTTTATTTTATTTGTATATGACAAGGTATACATCGTGAA